TCTGTGCTTGCTCTGCTCTAAATTTGTATTATTCCAATTGACTTTTGATCTTGATTACGAATCGTTCTCTTTATATTTCGAAAAGTAAGAAAAAATATTACAAGAAATGCATGACTTGTGTCCCTTACAATTTTACTCGGATAAATGAACTTCAGACAGAATTAGAAGAAATAAGGAAATATAAATTAATTGGACTACTCATAAGAAGTCATTCTCAATGGATAGAGGAAGGCAAAAAAGAGGGTGTTGCAGTTCTTTTGTTATTTTCCCTAAAGTTGTTGCAGTTTAAAAGGAAAAATTCTTCTTAATTTTGCTTAATTTTTTTTTCAGATACAACGGTATATGCATCACAATGTAGAACAGTATTTAGAAACTGCCTATCGACATCCAATTAGCCATTAAATGAAGTGTAAATTAGTCACATAGCAAAATAAGTCAAGTTTTCTGTTCTTCAAACAGGGAATCCCCATTGTTCTGAAAAATTGCCTCCTTGAAACAGAATGAATTTGGTATATGCATAAAGAGACAGGATTTTTCTTCAAAACTACCATTTCCGATTTTTGTTTCAAAGAGGCATATTTTTGAAAATCACAAAAATCGAATAAAAATTATAATCCATTCGAAATGCAAAATGTGCACATAAAATAGCACAAGAGATTTCACTATCGGAGCTGGTCTAGTGGTAAAGAGTGTGGACTATGCAAATATTCTTTTACCTGAGAATGGGTTCGAATCCTGTAATGGTTGGTATATATATACATTTTTTTTTTCTGATATAATGGAAGTACAATGTAACATCTCTCTTGAGAGAGAAAGAGAGAGGGAGAGAATGTCAGAAAGTTAAAGGGTAATATTTTGGATGCATGCAGAATTAAATTGTTTTCCTTGATATTGTGATCTAAAACTAATAAGACATATATTTAATGTTATTATTTAGTGGCGATGTCTTAAAAAATAAAGAACTATCATTTTAAATAATTTAATTTTTTCATATGCGTTTCGTTTCATTATTGTTCTGTTAATTAGACTAGTGGCTAAGAATTGATTTGAAACAACTAAATTGAAACGACTCAATGGAATTTCTTGGATAGTGCATCAACAGCGTGATTATTGGGCACATTTTTATATATTGAAAAATATTAGCACAGGCAGTCGCTTTCGTTCAGTACATCTTTCAAAATGATGTGCGATTTGCACTTGCCATTAGTTGTGCTTTTTATCGTTCTAACTTTTCTCGTGCAATATGGCGACAGTGACCATAGATGTGAAAAAAAAAGTTTACTTACAGGTCGCCAGTCTATGTTAGGAAAAAACTATGCATGAAATAAACGTAAAATGTGAAATGTTTTGTTATAACAAGCTGGACATACCCGTCGCATAAATAAAGCCATCTAAGTAGCATTATTTGTTACATTTTCAACAGTGAAATACTGTGATTTATTTATTGAATAAAAGTGGTATTCTCTCACAGTGTGAAAGGATACCAAAATGATATTCTCTCACAGTGTGAAAGGATATCAAAGTAAGTAAAAAATAATTTCTGGCCTGTCATAAGATAGAGATAGTATAACTAACCATCTTGATAGAGCTAAAACTGCAAATTTCTTCCCAAATATGTTGCTAAAATCCATGCTTTGTAATGTTTTCAATCTCGCAACTGGTAAGCTATGACGTCTCAACCGCTCAACTATGACGTCAAGCGTATGACACTGTGTTAAGAAAAGACAGAGGCAAAAGGAAAATAAAAAAAATATAATAAACAGAAAATTAAATGTTTTGTAGATGAATATGGAATTTATTTCACTCATGAGACAGGATTTTTTTTGATATTTTCACTCGTGCTTCGCACTCGTGAAAATATAAAAAAATCCTGTCCCACTCGTGAAATAAATTCCATATTCGTCTACAAAACATTGAATATCCTCTATCTATATTTACAGATAACTCTTCACGCGTCGTGGGTATTTAAATGTCCTTCTCGACTTAGGGAATCATTGCGAGTTTCTGCAACACCCTCTTTAGTAAATATTTTTGCTGCACTTGAAAAAGGAATTTATGTCAACAAAAACAGTTGTAAACTTATAAATGATCAGAGAATAGAGGTCAATAAACCTAATATTTTAGATGAGGTAAAAACCTGTTACTTGTGTACAAGTCATTGTATGAAAAGAAAGATTCTCTTCTGGACTGGATGATGTATTAATATATGATAAGGATGTTTAAAAATTTAAGAGAACGTGAAAAATCAGCTGGAATTAGAAATTATTAATCCTGATTTATTTGAAGCAAAAAAGTCAATTAAAAAATGACAAATAACAAGGAACAGATGGATTAACTGCAGATTTAAAAAAAATCATTGGTCGGAGAGAGAGAGAGAGAGAGAGAGAGAGAGAGAGATACTCCTTAAAATGCAGTCTTGATTCTGGCAAGCTTTTCAGAGTCACAGACAAATTGGTCATAAATAGTTCGATTCTACTCAAAGGGCAAAACCATCGAGAATACCTTAAAACCCGGTGGCCAATTTCACTTCTAATACAGCATATAAACCATTATCAAGTGTCTTAGGAAATCGCATGAAGCCCATTCTATGAAGCAAAATTCATTTTAAAATACAGAAACTTCCACATAAAAAGAGGATGCTTTTTGATGTAGCCTTCAATTTGAGTTTGTATACAGGTGACGTTTTATCAATTAATAATATTTTTCATTCATATGTTGATTCAATATATCCTACTGAACTCAAAATAAAGGACAGGAAAGAGTCTGACACATCTGTTAAAGGCAGAGATTTTAAGCACCGCCTTCAAAAATACCTGGTCTGTGTACCCCAGTCAATCAAGTGCATAAAGGTACATCATTGGGTGCTAGAACTTGATTGACATTTACTTACTAGTCCCTGTGTATACCCTGTACACCTTGTTTGGCACTTGTGGTGACCTTCCAATTAACTTTTGATCCTTTGATATTTACCATACATGGTATAAACAATAGAGAAGCTGTATTCATGGTATTATACTATGGAATTTTAGCTTGACAATTTTAATCGACAAGGATACTTACTCATCAGTAGCTGCTGATCCTACCTCTGATGTTTTCAGAGGTTTGTAGTGCATTGCTCTCAATTTGCATTGTTCAATTGGACTTCTGAGCGTGTTCCTTACATTTCATGATTGTGATCATATTTATGCGGGACCAAATTTTATTTTGTAATGTCTATTAAAATTTGCAGTCTGTCTTTTTGTAAGAAAAAATAATGGTTTAAATTTAATAATCTACTAAATAAAAATATCATTTGAATTTACCCGCATTGTTGCCAGGAACAGACGAGGGCAAGCAGGACATATACTTTTAGCAGTAGAATTTTTTTTTCATCCCTTTGATGTAAATGTAGTACGCGAACTGCTTCCTACCTAAATGGCTTAAAAAGCACCCTCTCTTTGCTTGGAACTTTTTAAGAAATTAAAATCGTTCAACTATTGTAATTTTTTCTTAGTAACATCTTTACTCCGAGACACATAAAATATCTTTAAAATTTAAAATTATTTTTACTCGTGTATTGTTGAGTATTGTTTTTATTGTATATTTAGATACGATTCCTTATCTTGGCTGTCTTGGTAACAGTTGTATATGGGCAGTGTAACGACTTCGCCACTCAATATCAATGTCTCATGAGAAGCAACAGTGTGTTGGGGGCATGTAAAAGTAGATGTTACGGCTACGGATGTACTAAAACACAGTGTGAGCTGAGATGCCAAGAGGACGCCTACAGACGTCTTACATTCTGTATTACATTGGAATAAAAAAAAATATTTTAATTTGACAAGTCTTTCTTCATTTCATATTTTCCCCGTATTTAACATGAAATTTTATTTTGTATCTATATTCTCACTAAATAAAAAAGAATCTTGTGTTGAAGTATATTAAAACGTAAAAATGGAAATATTTTATTAGTACATATAGCTTTATTTACACTTCAGGACAGATGATACAAACAAGTTTTTCTCTAAAAGTAATGAAAATAGCAACTAAATCTATGTTTATATAGTAAAATGAATAAGCTTAGCCGCATATAGTTTCATTTTTCATTCAAAGTTCCTCAATAATGTCATATAAAGTGATAAAAAGAAGTGTATAGGTTTATAAAGGTGATGACAAAAATGAAAGAAAATAAACATCATGGAAAGTCTATGATTTCTCAATATTTTAAATACTACTATACATGTATTTTGATATATGCACCATTTGCCTTCAAAATATATACCAATCCATGCATACAATTTTTGTTTTGTAGCATGTGTCCTTAAAACTAGCCACTATAAAGTACTTGTAAAGTTTATACAAAGAAGTATAGATATTGAAACTAAAGAATTGGTTACCAGTGTCCTCTACTTCTATAATTTATGTCCGCTAGGTGGATTTTTTATGAACGAGGAGAAAGCTGAAGTAAAACTTTACCTTTAAGGCATTGATCTAGGGTCTTATGTAAGATTGAATTTCAAGGTTGTATAAATTATGAAAACTCGCTGGTCCGTATGTACAAATCCTTTTGTCGTGTATAATACCCTCTGATCTGTGTGACATCCGAAAAGCATATTGACATTTAAAAAACAAATACACAACTTAATCTCAGGTGATTGGCAATTGCATATTATGACGCAGATTTCTTTTTGAATTTCTCCAATATCATATTGATTATTCTACCCTGCATGCGAATTGTTGTGTCTGCTTGAAAAGAGTTATTCTACTAAACGCTATTAGGTTCTGATTTATTGGGCGTTGTTAACTGTTACTATTGATCACATTAAGTGCGAGCTTTTGGACATCTTGGGCTGGATTTAAAGTTAATATTTGAAAGGAAGAGGCCTCACTTTTCCATCACGCAAATCTTTTTTTGTGTTCTCATAGTCTACTCGTTTATTATGCTCATTTAACGGAGAAAATGCCGAATAAGAATGACCCTTTTTCTGATATTGAATTGGAAGGAGTTTATTTAAATGCGAGTGAAAGCTTTAAAGTAATCGAATTTGTTTAATTCAACACTTGCGATAAACACTCAACAATGTTGATACTACATTGATGAATGCTTTCAACACAAATATTATGTTATTGATAATTTTTAGTTTTGAGATTGTGAATCTGGAAAAATGACGTCTCTGAGCAAATAAAATTACCAAATGAAAAGAAAGCCCGTCAAACGTGAACATAGAACTGAACAAATACCCACCGATAAAAAATAATTACTTGCATGGAAATAAATGTTTCTGGGCCCCTTTTGCACTTGAAGTTTTCCTCGTTGCGGCGTGAAATAGACCCATTGGATCAATAGCCCAGATTCTGTGAGTGGAGTTGTCGAGCAACAGAAGACCATGGTGGAAGCATGCGGACACGTCCGACCCGCCGAGGACAGCTACTAATCCTCCACCCAGCGATGAAAGTCAAGAAACAAAACAAAGTTGTGGAGAGACAGTTGGAGAATACACTCCATTTTATTGAACAGAAATATCATTTTCAAACGGAAAAGCTAGATAAATCTATCAAAAGTGTACAAAGACAGTTAGAAAATATTGAGAGTGACCGAAGAAAGGGCGGGATTCCAGGAAGGTCGCTTGATGATATGTATGGACGGTTTGCAATCACGCCAGAATCGGCGCAAAAGCGCCGTAGACGCCGTGCTGTGGCATGTGATATTGGGACTCCAAAACGAAAGCATCACTGTTCACATTTCCCTTGCGAAATGCCACAAACCTACCATTCTATAGGATTCAGATTTCAACCAGAAGATACCGAATGGAAGCCATGGAAAAAAATAAGAAATGACTTAAGTGACGAAACACAAATTGTCCTTGAAAATTCAACCCTTATGAATACTGGCATATCTCGTCTTCGAGCTGAGAGACGAGCAGATATGTTAAAATTAGAGATGGAAAAGAGAAGAAGAAAAATGGAAGAAGGGAGACCTCCGGCATGGGAGACAAACTATGGAAAACCAACACCCATCCGGAGGTTAAAGTACCCAGTCCGCCTTGAACCCTTGGACTAACCTTCACCAGAGGCTGATATCCGTCATTTCCTCGAGAAGGAATTTGGTTTCTAATTGAAATAGGATTAAATCAAACTATGACTCGAGACTGTTTACTATCATATTGTGCCAAAATAAAGATTTACACAGAATGACCGTTCGTTAACAGGTATTGATTTAGTAATTTTAAGTACTTGGTTGTATAAAGAGGAAAGGTATTGATCCGTTAATTGTGTTGGCCGATCCTGTAATTAAGAATCTTAAAATTGGCCAAGTTTAAATTGATTTTATTCAATTAACAAAAAGATTGCATAATGCCTAATGAAATTAACGTTGAGACTGAGTATAAGCAAAGACTTTATATTTAGCATAATATGACGAACATTTTTCTTACAAGTTATTGAGATTGACAATCGTTATAAATGTTTTATTATTATCAGTAAGACTTGATACGCAAAATCATTCTAAGACACTTTGCTTTGTTATTGTAAACCATATTGCTTACAGTGTAGTGTATACACTGTACATTTGTGCATTCTTTTTAAAATATTGAAATTAAAACATTGAAACTACATTTTGTTTGAAGCAAACACTTAGGTGCTCATGTGTGCATTTATAATGATTATCATATAAGAAATAAACATTATAAATCCATAATCACAAAGTTTCCATTAGAAATATATCAATGTTAGAGCTGCCATTGATGGATGTATGTACAATATCAATGTGTCATCAAATAAAAAATCTTCAATATTGATAATTTTTAGGGTATTGATAAACGACAAAGATTATACCATTTTATTAAAATGCATTTGGATCTCTTCGGGCTTTATGGGAGCTTTAGGTGTTGCTGATTTTCTCATTAACGAGGCCCTAGTCAAAGCACTTAGAATTCTTCACTTTATTTTAAATAAAAGTTTTATATGATGAGATGTCATTCCTTGTGGTTTTAGTGGTGTATAACTCCCCATGAAGAAATTCGTTTTCATTTTAATAAACATTTTTTGAGGATCAAACGTTGACACCTGATTTTAGTGTTTATATTCATTTTATCACTGGAAGAAAATGTAGAAGGTCACTGAGTTTTTTAATTACAAAATTGCTACATATTTCCTCAGGCATAAAAATTGACACTTACACATAAAAGGTAGATTTTCTCATTTATTTGAAAGAAAACTTTTTTTTATTAGAAACTCAAATTGACAATGATATGATCTCTCTCTCTCTCTTTCTGAGTGTTTATCTCCGTTTCTTACATCAGGTTGATATAGGTGGTGATTTGTCGTATTGGAATAACAAAAAGTCTAATTTATAGAGTTCCTGTAATTTACTGATTGTGGATTCTTTCACATGAGCGAAAGCCTTAACTAGTGCTTGCCTTCTCTGACGTCTCTTTTCATTTAAGCTCAATTTGTATTTTGTCACATAACTCAAAATTATTTTGATGATATTATCTACGTTCATCTTCCTATCTAGATATCTTGAGAACTCACGTTTAGGAAAAGGTACTTTAAATTTCAATTTTCCTTGAATTTGCAGTGTATTCCAAATTTTTGATAGATATTCTCTGAAATCTGGACACATTTTTCGGTTCTTTTTCCATAATTTTATATATGTGTGAATAAGACTAATCACTGACTTGTTCTCGATTTTATTATGGATTAATTTGATCAAATTGTTCCGTGTTTTGTATGAAATGTTTGTATAATCCAAAACATACTCGATATCTGCAGATAAAGTTTCAATTTTGCCCACAACATCATATCTGACGTCACACGCATGGCACAGTAAATAAACTGGTGCCCAGTGTCTATTTATCTGATAGCCACCGTAAGCTTTGCTTAATCAAGAAATTCTTGAAATGTTACATTATACCCGCATGACAAACGTCTCTTCCCATTATTGTCTGAGATTTCACGAGCTGCTTTAACAAGACCGAACAGGTAGAATTTGTCCACATACGCTGAATACAGCCTGGAGTAAGGATTCCTTGAGACAATCAAGGTCACCGAATTCGGCTGTTTTTCCTTAATTAGTGCAGATGTACTTAGTTTTTTATTTCCAATGGCATGGACATGACTCCGACTAATTTCAAATATTTCATCAACTGACTGAGCTCTGTCTTTTTCTAGGACAAGGAAAATTTCTGTCATGAAAGAACTTCCAGCCTTCGGTACTTTGCAGTAGGATAAATTAGCTTCTTTATTTCCATAAAAGTTTTCAGATACTTGACGAAAGTCAAAGTTATACCGATTTATGTCAGCCGATTTGCATGTTGATCTCAAATGTTGAACTCTTTTTTTCAGTTGTTGTTCCCTTAACTCTTTTGGAGACATCTGGCCATATTTTGATTTATCCACAGAATATTTTTCGTTAAGAATATTGAAGGAATTCCATACTTTTCCCGCTAAAAAAGAAAACAAAATGTATATACATTAACTTAAACTGATGATTCTACAACTTTGTCGCATATTGTTTTTACGCTGACAAAGTAAAGATCTGTAATCCTTAATGTAGGTCTAACTTTGCAATATCACCTTGAGCTGCTGACTTTTTAGATGTTGCGCGTGATGTTGGTGTGATTTTACACATTTAGTTTCAGATCTATAAACCAATCAGTAATTTCAAAACAATGCTCACTATATGGGAGGTTTTGGTATAATCAATAGGTTTTTGAGTAGAACTACGTGATTCTAATCAGAAGTTAAATTTTTAAATCAATTTAATATTATTTTAAAGAAGAGGTCAAGGACATATAATTACCGTTTTCTGAGAGACTGTAGGCAATATGGATACCTTTTTTCTTGTTGGATATGGAAAAATCCACATATTTATATGAGAATGGTTTTCTTCATTTTTCATTGAAATTGACAGTATCATTTTTCCCTTGTGTTTACCTAAAACTATGTTTCTGTACATCTTCTTTTTAAAGCATCGTTAAAGGAATTTGTTTCTCACCTTAGAAAATATCTGTGGGGTATGGCAAGCCCTTTTACTATTTATTTCCAAAATAGACAGAAAAAGATATATCTTTTTCACCTAGAGAGGTTTCTCTTTCACTAAGAGAGATTTTTTTTTTTGAGGAATATTTCTTTAATTTATATTTTCATTGGAAAATCTAAAGAGATATCTATATAAATTACAGAGAGGGAACAAAATATATTTCTCAAATTTCAAGAGATATCTCTCTAGCTTAAAGGGATATCTCTCTAAGCTTAATAAGAGATATTACTCTAGCGTTATGAGGTATCTCTATAAGCTTAAGAGATATCTCTATGTAATAGAGATATCTTTCTTAGCTAAAGAAAAAGCTCTCTAAGTTAAAGAAATCTCTATTTTTTAATAAATAGTAAAAGGGCTTGCCATAGTAGGCACCTTTCATTTATCTTGCCCTTCTAATGAAGAAAAGGGAAAGCAGGGTGGGTGACTTTTAAAAATCTTCTCAAGAATCAGAGCGGCAGAAAAGATGAAGATTACATGAAATCTTCTGTAATAAAGGAACATTTTAATTTGCTCAAATCATGAATTATATGCGTAGAGTGGTGCAAATTTTGGTGATCAATTTTTACACAGGAATACATAGGTTAAAATCTTTAAAAATTTTCTACTCAAGAATAGCGAAGTCTTAATAAGTTATATTGACATGGAAGCATCTTCTAGTAGTGTTGATTCAAGATTGTTCAAATCATGGCCCCCTTAGGTCGGGTGGGGCCACAACAGACGATCAAGTTTTACATAGGATATATATAGGAAATAATCTCAAAAATAGCAAAGACCTGATCAGTCATATTTCATGGAAGCATCTTCAGATATCATTTATTCAGGTTCGTTCAAAGCATGAACCAGGGAGTAGTGTGGAGCCACAATGGACTATCAAAGTTTTACATGGAAATATAAAGGAAAAGAATCTTACAAATCTCTTTCAATATGATTAGTTTATTTTTCTGGAAGCATCCTCATATTCGGATAGTTTACTTTGAATTATGATTTGAACAAACTAAACAGGGTTTTTAGATGAGAAACACCAAGAATAAAGAAAAAAAAAACAAGACAAATATCATATATAACAGATTAGCTAATGTGTGACAATAGAATTGCCGACTTTGCTTTTAACATTCGAAAGTACATATACAAGACAAATTACCGCAATACAAAGTTTTTATGTCCTTATCAGTGACAAGAAAGCTTTTCGGCATACCTGAAAAGTTTTCAAGGTTCTCACCAAATATAGTTGATCTACAAGCAAGGAGAATAAGACAACTTCCACAGAAGATAAAAACACCACAACAGACTTTATAAGATTTGATCCTCATTTGTTACAATTGCAGGAATAAGTATGGCAGTATTTACATACAGCCTTATCATATCTGATTTACTTATCTAAGGTTAGGACAATAGTTATACAGAAGGAGATAAAACAGAGATCCAATTCTTTAATCAATATCACGGCATATACAATTGAATTTCTCTCACCCCAGTTTTACTATGGAACAACACTCGATACTTAACTCTAAAAGTCAGCTGTCAAACCCGATCAGACCCCAAGACAACGAAATAAGACTGAGTTCAAAATCTGGATTTTTAATATTTTGATTTTAATCTAACAAGCCTGTTAAAAATGAGACAGTTTGTTTAATATTAAGATACACTATTTTGACTGAAATCTTTTCTAGTATTATGGTCATAAAAACAAGTATATTCAAAGTCTAGTTTAGGCAGTCCCAGATCCACAGCTATGCAGTAAAATTTTTTCTGCCACATTTTAATTCAATCATTTTCATACAACATAGTTGAAAGACATAAAAGAACAAGAACACAGTATTTCGTTTGCTGGTCAATATCTAGTAACTGTAGTTGAAAAGTTTGGATGCAGCAGTTGGAGAATATCTTTAGGAAAGACACGGTCTGGACCTTGAATTACAAAACTGAATGTTTTTGTTTTTTGTTTTTTTCTTTATTAAAAAAACATTGTTACTAATGTTTACAGCATCTGCACCTTCGTTGGCAAATTCAGCTGCAACAAAATTATGAATGGAGATTATCAACTTCAAACCTGGCAATATTTTGTTGCTTTCCGTAATAAACAAAAACGTTTTCGACCAATATGAACTGTTACTTACGATGTTCCCATTCGGGAGGCCCGGGTTCCATTATCGTTCGTCGCGCCGCGTTAAACCTAAGACGTAAACATAGGTAGTTACTGTTCCTTCACCAAGTGTCCGGCACTAGAAGTGAAAGTCACGGATCTTTCGGATGAAACCATAAAAACAAGGTGCCGTGTCACGGTAGGCGTTGGCACGATAAAGATCCCTCACTGCTACTGAGGGTAGAAGATATACCAGTACTTTACAGCCATAAGAATCTGTCCGGCCACAGAACTTTTTAAATAGCGTACTCCAGGAACTTTTATACTGCAAGTTGAATATCGTCACACAGAATCTTGGTGATCGTTTCAAGGTCGTTTTCTTGTGTGTATATACTTTTAATGACTATTTTAAGGACTTTGTCATAACCCAAACTTACGCATGCTCTATTTTTGTACATTTCTTTATCTTCCTTTTTTACTCCGCTTTGGTTTTTGTGCATATTTGTTAACTAAGGGCAACATCAAGAATATTCATGTAACTAGCTTTTTACACGCTTACTGTGACATAATGTCTTGTGTTCTGCAACAATCATAGTCACCTGTGTGTATTCACCTTATATAACTATCTGTGTGGTGCAATAACTATACTCATCTGTGTGTATTCACCCTATATATCCATCTGTGTGCTAAAACACCCATAGTCATCTTTGTGTATTCACCCTATATACACCTGTGTGCTGCAAGAACTAGAGTTATCTCTGTGTATCCAAGTCAATTACACCCATCTGTGCTAACTGTTGTGCTTTGTGTACTAGTATTCGAGGGTCGTTTAATAATAATGCAATAGGTCATCTAAAGATAAAAAATTACGTAATACATATTCTAAATATTTTCAATCCCTCAAAGCATTCCCTGTTACCTTTACACATGCCGTAAGTCTTTGTACCCATGACCAGAAAACCTCAGCATACTCATCTTTAGGGATGTCCCAAAGACACTGATGAATATCACTTCCCATGACATATCTAATATTGTACAATCTTCCTTTAATTGTTTTCATGCGTTTTTGGAATAAAAAGATCTCTAAATGACTGTGTTTTAGCGAATATGGGGAATGGCAAAGCTCTGTAAACTTTCTCTTCAGAATATTTCATTTATTTCTCTGTGCTTATTTGCAGTAGCATTGCCGTGTGCAAGAAAATTACCCTGGGGCGGTATTTGGACTTCCTTTGCAGGACATTTGTTAACCTTTCCTCAGTGCAATTTGAACATAAAAGTTACCATTGATGGTCCTTCCTTTGGGTTTAACTGGACCTCTTAAAAAAATGAAAACTAATAAAACATTCTAGGAGCCCTTGTTTATCTTTACAATAATAAGAAAGATAGCTTTTTCTTTGATTCGACATTTTACAATTGATCTTCCTTTATGGCTATAAAAAGTCCACCCATGTTTCGTCATCCATAACGCAAATTTAACAAATCCTCTATTTTGTTGAAATATTTTTTTTAAATAGACGTTGACACATTTAATGTGTGTTTTCTCTTCGGCAATTTTAAGAAAATAGGGCACCTACTTGATAGAAATATTATTATATTCATTTCCGTTGTCAGAATTCTATAAAATGTTGTGATAATGGAATGCTTAGTATCTTAGCAATGTCTTTCGTAGTAAATCTGACATTTTCAGATATCATGTTGCACATAGCATCGATATTTTTTTTTGGTCTCTACAAATTTCAATCGACCAGTTTGACTGTTATATTTTAACTCTCCTTTTTTACTTTTGATTTTCTGAATCAATCTGAAAACTATACAGCGTTAAAGACTATTCCTTTCACATGTAAAAATCAAATCTTTACTATGAGTTCTTCGGCGATTAGCGTAAAGAAGCAGAGTTTTCACATACGCTCTCATTTTCATCTTCTTGGCAGAGATCATTTTAAACAGTTTTCAACTCAGTGTAATGACCATGCTTACTTTAAAAGCGAATTTCTTTGCGAGGACAATGGAAAAAATCATGAGGTTTTCGGTGATTAGGAGCTCTTTAATTGAACGTTTCAACTGTGAAAAAATAAATTTAAACAGATCTACATTTACTATTATATACTGTTTGTTACATTATGTATTGAACGACCCTCGTATGTGATATAGATTGATTGATTGTATGTTGTTTTACGTCCCATTCGAGAATTTTTCACTCATATAGAGACGTCACCATATACCGGTGAAGGGCTTCAAATTTTGACCTTTACTCGGCACTCAGGGCCATTGAGCAGTGAGGGATCTTTATCGTGCCAACACCTGCCGTGACACGGGGCCTCGGTTTTTAAGGTCTCATCCGAAGGACCCGCAACTTTCACTTCAAAGTGCCGAGCGCATGTCGAAGGAACAGTTGCTACCCATTTTTTATCGACTTAGGTCTGTCGCGGCCGAGATTCGAACTCACGACCTCCCGATCATGAAGCGAGCGCTCTACCGACTGAGCTACCGTGAACGGTCGTATGTGATATAGAAACTAGAAGTAGAAATCGCACCATTGCCATTAGAGCAGAACAAAACAAACACACTCACGAGACAAACCCATACCAACTCAATCCATCTAAAACAACAAAAAATTACACGATCAATCAATCGCCCAGAGAACATTGCACACATAGACAAACTTGGTAATCACATTTATTCTATGAACACAAACTTATATGGGATGTATTCACAAAAAAACATAGACTTCTACTCACAGAGAGAACATGACACAAAATACACCTACTCTGTCACTGTCTCAGCAAAGTCAGATCAAGACGGCCGGAAGCAGAAGTAGAAAGGGAGTCTTGAGATTTTCCATCATGCTGAACCACACTACATGCAAGATGATGATAAATGGTAAACACTACAGCAACTCAGACAACTCGCGGAGTACATTAATCCACAATGAAATGACCGACAACAACTAGAAGAGGAACTCAGCCAGATTTCATCGATAAACAGCCAGACAATAGGCCTACAAGGTATACATAGTGCTACGGAATCCAATCTTCAACATCAAACCATAGACCATGATGCCAACAATAATGAAACTGAAAATAAATCCCCTGATGAGACAACAGATGAGACCCAAGACAGGGTTGCTTGCATGTCTAATACCAAAACATCTTAAGTCAGCAGAAGACCCCAACACAATCTAAGACAGCAAAAGGCAACGGGTTCTATAGTACATAACTCCAACCTCAGCTCGACACAAATGGAGGTACAGAGAAGCAACAACTCCAGCCCAATTGAAACACTCTGTACAGAAGAAACTGCAGTAAAAGAATTGCAGTCATGTATGGCGACAATCACAGAACAAGAAGGAGGACGATTGTCCTGCCCAATATGCGCGGAAAGAGAAGGCAGAACCATCGAATGCAGCAGATGTCAAACTGGCTACACTAAACTTGCGAAAAAAGGATTAAAGGAACTATATGTAATAAATACGATGAGAATGCAAGCATGGAGTTCATCTGTAACTGTTGCCAATGTCTGGACAACTTCAAGACCCTAGACGGTCTTACACTTAATCTGGGAAGATCCGATGAAGGCGATGTCAACAGATCTTCCATGCCAAACCTAGATGACCTAAGAAGATCTTCCAGTTTAGTGATATAGAACAACAACTGGCCGTATGTAGAGCAGAAATACCCGTCTTGAAGACCTAAACAATGAAAAAAGACAAAATAATATCAGCCATGCGCCTCAAACTCTTACTAGCTGAAAACAACCCTGACATACAACCAACGCCACCCTCACATCTAGAAACACTACCGATGTTTTTCATCTATGCCACTCATCATAACTTGACTCTAGAGAAAATTCTTTTTGGAATTGAACAACTTAAACTTGAAGTTAAAAAAAAGTCTAGATAAAGGAACTTGACAGAAAAACTGAACCTCCTTAACCTACCTCACTTACCATGAGACAAAAGGGTAACGCAGACCAACATCACATCCAGCGAGTCTAAGGCCATCAACTACCCAGATACACACCATTCACTGCCCGAAACAAGAACTAAAGAGACCCAGACTGTGAGTGAGTGGCCTCAACAGTAACACACAGAGTAACAACAGGGAAAACATGAAAAAGACGGCAAATCACAAACTCCATCCACCAGCCATTATACAGACGGAAGCTTAAGGATCTAATAATGTACAGACCCCTACAAACATTGTACCTCA